GAGGGACAACCGGACCTCATAACCACCAGAGGGAGACTTTGTACAAAAGTCGATTGCTTGGGCACCTCTGTCCCATTCGTGTTTCAACCGTGAAGCAGTTGTGTTTGCATGACTGTGTTTCGGTTTGAAGGGTGGGATATGGCGTGAATTTACAGGGTACAGAGGAATAACACCTGAGTCCTCAGGAATGGCAACGCATGGGGGGTATCATGGGTGAAACAGTATAGTCTGCTATGTCCATGGTACTGCTCATGTCTATAGGCGACGGTTACCACTTTCCATCAGGTGGGCCGTCAGCTTGTTTGTCATTCTAAGTTGCATAAAAAAAAAAAAAAAAAAACACTCTCTCAGTTCCTGCAAAGGACCGCCGCACGATGTGGAAACTTCGCCCCCGCCGAGGAGATACCGTCCGAAGACCGGCGGGAGTCCGCTCCTAGGAAGACGGCGAAGACATACACGACGCAGGAGAAACCCGCTACACCACCGTGCCCGATGTGTCGACGAGAGGGACACGCTCCATCGGACTGCAAGACGATGAAGGAAGCAGACACATCGGCGAGATGGGAGCTAGCGAAGACTCATAGGCTGTGTTTCCGTTGCCTCAAAGTGAGAAGATTTCGCCACGCCTGCAAGAGCAAGAGATGTGGAGTGGATGAGTGCACGCAGACTCATCACCCTCTGCTGCACACCACGCGACAACAGCCGGAGAATGAAGTGACAACACACGTCGTCGAGGACAAGTCCGCCGCAGTCGCCGCATCGGCAAGGGAAAACGACAAGATCGCGTTCCTGAAGATCCTGCCGATACGAGTCACCGGTCCCACGGGAACGTGCGACACCTACGCGCTACTGGACGACGGGTCGACTTGCACCATCATCGAGACGGCGGTGGCGGAGCGAATCGGTGCTACGGGCCCCCCCGCACCCTTCTACATGGAAGGTGTGGCCGGGGCACGGATCAACGCAGCTCAATCGACGCGTGTTCACTTCAAGATCCGCGGGCGGAATTCACAAGAATACACAGTGGGGGCACGGACGATGGACAGACTGCAGTTATCACCGCAGTCGGTACCGCGCAGCGTCATCAAGGGCTGTCCACATCTACAAGACATAGAGAGGGAATTGGTCTATGAAGAGGGCAAACCGACGGTACTGTTGGGGCAAGACAACTGGCACCTACTGCTGGCCCACGAAGTCAGAAGAGGATCCGACACGCAGCCGGTCGCATCACTCACCGACCTGGGATGGGTACTGCACGGAACGAGTCGCAGCAGGACAAGACAGCAGGTGCACAGAATCAGCCACATAGTGACGACACACGAAGAGGAACAATCGATGGAAGAAATGATGAAGCAACATTTCGCGCTCGAATCGCTGGGGATCGCACCGAAGAGGTCCTACAATGAAGAGGAACGTCGCGCCCTACGCATTTTAGAGGAGAAAACTCGTCCGTTACCGGCGGGAGGATACGAGACGGGGTTACTATGGAAGAAGGACGACCCTGTGCCGCCGGACAACTATGAATCGGCAATGCGACGTCTCCGACCGGTCGAAAGGAATTTCGACAAAAATGAAGAGCAGTGGCCGCGTGAAGATAGTTCAAGCGACGATAGTCAAGCGGAAACGGGAGAAGAACGCGTACACAAGCTACAGAACGCGACGCAGTTGTCTATAGCATTACCCGATCCGTCACGTTTTTCTAATTGGTTGAAACTTGTTCGCAGTTCAGCACGGGTATTGCAGTTCATCGACCTCCTGCGACCGACCAGTCAACGCTGTGCCGCCATCCGAAAAAGAAACAAGAAGAAAGAGAGCGCCGACCCCACTTGGACCCGCACGAAGAAAGTCGATAGAGAGAAGACGAAGATGAAAATCAAGAACAGCAATAGTCCATCTGTGTGTTTCATCCCCATAGACACACACTACCTCGATCGCGCGCGACGGCTATGGATTCGCGCGATACAACAAGAGGCGTTCGGCGACGAAATCGCAGCATTGAAACGAGGGAAACAGCTGCCGTCATCCAGTCGACTCATACAGCTGTCGGTCGTCATAGACAACGACGACATTCTGCGACTTCGATCGAGAATAGCAGCCGCCGCCGATCTGTCAGCCGAGCAACGAGAGCCCCCCATCGTCGACGGAAACCACGCCTGGGTGCGCCTATACATCGCATGGGTGCATCGGAAACTTCACCACGGCGGCTTCGAGATCACCACGAACGAGGTGCGACAACACTTGTGGGTGTTGCGCCTACGACACGCCGTCCGCGGTGAGCTGAAGAGGTGTCAGCTGTGCCGCCTACGAAGAGCAAGACCGGCGCAGCCATCAACGGGCAACCATCCACAGAGCAGGCTGGCGCATCATCAGCGACCGTTCACGTTCACCGGCCTAGACTACTTCGGGCCTATGACCGTGACAGTGGGCCGCACTCACCAGAAACGATACGGAGTGCTCTTCACCTGCCTAACGACGCGCGCAGTCCATCTAGAAATCGCCGGCAGCCTCAGCACGGACTCCGCCATAATGGCCCTGCGGCGCTTCATAAGCCGCAGAGGGTGTCCCACGGAATTATGGTCCGACCAAGGCACCAACCTCAAAGGTGCCGACGTCGAACTGAAGAAAGCAGCCGAGGAAGCCATCCAAGAAGAGTCATCAGTCCATTTCATCCGGTGGCGCTACATTCCCCCGAGCGCACCCTTCATGGGAGGTGCGTGGGAACGGTTGGTGCGTAGCGTGAAGACCGCACTAGCCGCCACGTTGAACGAACGGGCGCCCAAGGAAGAGGTCCTCCACACTCTACTGGTCGAAGTCGAGCACACCCTCAACAGCCGACCGCTAACCCACGTGTCGACATCGGCAGACGACGACAGCGCCCTAACCCCCAATCACTTCATATTGGGCGGTCCATCGCGCGTCCCACTGCCAGGCAGCTTCACAGAGAGCGACGCGGCGGGACACAAGGAGTGGCGTGCCAGCCAGAGGCTAGCTGACTGCTTCTGGAACCGGTGGGTGAAGGAGTACCTACCCGAGTTACAACACCGGCGGGAGCCCCGAGCTACACACGGAGCCATCAAAATGGACGACCTGGTCCTGATAGCTGATGGGACCTTGCCTCGCAACACGTGGCCGCGAGGCGTGGTGGTGGCGACCTACCCTGGACCAGACGGCGAGATCCGAGCAGTCGACGTGCGGACGAACAAGGGCATCCTACGGCGACCCACAAAGAAGTTGATCATACTGCCCACATCGACATCGAGCGACGCGAACACGAGTTAACTCCAGCTACGAGAGCTGCGGCGGGAGATTATGTTCGCGACATTATTGTACATGTGTAATTATAGCGATATTTATAGCAATGTTTATAATTAGTTGTTAAGTCCCTAGTTTAATCGTTTTTGTATACTGTTATTTTATATAGATTTTACATAGATTTAAGATACCTATAGTGTAAGTTAAATAAAGTATTCTTTGTGCGTTGTCATTATTACCTGCGAATAGAAATAGAAATTGTAAAAATAAATAGAACTAAAGCAAATTGTAATAAATAAATAGACGCTATATGGTACCTTCTAAAGAGATACGCGTCTCTTTCACTCTCGCCCCGTCCCGCTCGCACAGTTAGAAATGTTATCGTGCGAGCGGGCGGGTATAAAGATAGGCCGCCTCCCGTCGAGCGGCATTCGCTTCCGAGCAGCGACGCACTACACTCGAGAAGAAATAGGACAAGAAGAAAAAATACTCTCTTCAGACGGTACCGGAGGCTTCAGAATAGTAATCGCTGTGTTTCACTCCAGCCTGAACCAACGCCCCTACAGTCCACGCTCACCGAACGGCAGTCCACACCGTACAATTATCTATTAAAAAAGATAGCTGACGGTCTTTCTACTAGAAAGATAATGATTACCTATTTTTTTTGAATGGATGATAATGGAATGGTAATCCCGTCTGCGGTATCGGTATACGCTGGCGGGGCACCAGTAAGAGATGATAGGTAAAGATGAAAGCAGGTCAGTTGGCCCATCACGATCAAACCATCAATAATTGGGGGGGAAAGGGATTGTTAATAATGGATACTGAGAATCCCATTGCTAACAATATACCCAACCAGGTCGACCTCCTCGCGGTTCCTGGAAACTATCATGGTTAATTCCTGATGAATTCATCATGATGGGCTAACTGGCCTGTTTTCGTTGTCATCTATCACCCTTCACTGGTGCTCCACCAGCGTATCCCGTTAACGCAGGCGGAGTTGCCATACCATTTTCACCCATAAAAAAAACCATCAATAATTAAGCACGATTGTTTTCAGGGGGAACCGCGGGGAGGTCGACCTGATAGGGTATATTGCTAGTTATAGGGTTGCTAATCCCCATTATTAACAATCCCCTTTCCCCCCTGATCACCTGATTACCCTTACTAATATTATAAATGTGAAAGTGCATTTCTTTGTATATTAACTCTTAGAGTGTTAACAGCTAAACCAATCGCTGATATTTGGTGGTCCTTCTTCATTCCATATAGATTTTTACATATACTATATGGAATAAAGAAGGACATAGGCTATAGATAGATAGATAGATACTCTTTATTGTTTCCTTCATAAGATTACAATAGTAAACTTATTATAAATACAAACAATTACAAGAAAATATTACACTGAGAAAACAATGGGCGGCCTTATCGCTAAGAACGATCTCTTCCACGCAACCTTTGGATGGAGAAACGTAATATATACTTTTACTACAAGCTATATATACTTATCCTGGTCAGTGATTAATTCCGGTCACACGATACGACAACATAACCTTCAAGAAAAGAATATATTCCTTTTTAAAAGGCCGGTAGCACACCTGCAATGCCGCTGGTATTGTGGGTGATCATGGGCGGCGGTAGTCACTTACCATCAGGTGAGCCGCATGCTTGTTTGCCCCCTGTGTTGTAAAAAAACACGAACGAAGTTGCAGGTAAAAGCCAGTTTACTGTAATGTTAATTCCAGATCTACCACGCGAGCCTTTTATACGATATCTTCGGTCGATTGATGGACGAGATATCAGAGAAGAATATAGAATGCGTGCTGGTCGCGCTGCGGAGCGTGGGCGGCGTGCTGAGGAAGGAGGAACCTTTGGCGTTGAAGAACTTCATACACGAGACACAAGCCAAAGTGGCCAAGCTGAGCTCCAGCGCTGCCAATGGGTAACCTGTTTTTTAATTTTTTATTCAACTTAGATTGTTTCATTTGCTCTTTTAGTAACTGTATTACAATTATTTGTAATAATTTGTTATAGTATTTATTTATTTATTCATTTGTGTATATATATTTGTACAAGCTGGACTTAATGCTAAAAGCATTCTCTCCCAGTCAACCATAGGGAAATGTCAGAATACTCGAATGCAGTACTAGTAATAATTGATATATACTAAAGTTTATACATATATATATATATATAAGCTAGCGACCTATCCCTGCTTCACACGGGTGCAATGCTGATACTAAATATACCTACCTACTACAGAATGTTTTTATAAACAACGTTTACAGCTTTTTTGTCATTAGACAATACAAACCATTAAACATTAGAAACCTCTAAATTTATCAGTATTTCTCTATAATATTATGCATGTATTATAAATATAAACCTTCCTCTTGAATCAACCTATCTATTAAAAAAAACACTTCAAAATCCGTTGCGTAGTTTTAAAGATTTAAGCATACATAGGGACGGACAGACAGTGACAGCGACTTTGTTTTATACTATGTAGTAATAAATATATTATATAAATAACAAATATACTTACACATATATATGATATAATATATTATACACGAAGATGAGAGAAGTAGATAGTGCTTACTGCTCGAATAAAACATAAAAGTAAGCATGAACATTTTTTTAATAATAGAATAGTAATATTTCTAATGTATTTTTTATGCAACTAAAAATGGCAAACAAGCTGACGGCCCACCCGATGGAAAGTGGTAACCGTCGCCTATAGACATGAGCAGTACCATGGACATAACAGAGTGTACTGTTTCGCCCATGATACCCCCCATGCGTTGCCATTCCTGAGAACTCAGGTGTTATTCCTCTGTGCCCAGTAAATTCACGAGTGAAAGAGACATTATGCTTAAAATCTTACTAATATACCTAATAAAATTTGTCATTCGTTAAAATCATCATGGATATCAATTATTACTAGTACTGCAATTTTTTATACAACTTAGAATGGCAAACAAGCTGACGTCCTACCTGATGAAAAGTGGTAACCGTCGCCTATAGACATGAGCAGTACCATGGACATAACAGAGTATACTGTTTCGTCCATGATACCCCCTATGCATTGCCATTCCTGAGGACTCGGGTGTTATTCCTCTATTATTTATGTATGTATATATTTATTTATTTAACGGGATATCATCTAGTTTCCCATTTATACACCGCAGCTCTCGCATCAAGTTCCTGCTGGAGGTGCTGCTGGCGGTGAAGAACAACAACCTGAACAAGATCCCGGGCTACGAGCCGACGTACGCCGAGCAGCTCCGCAAGCAAGCTCGCGCCGCCGTCCGCCGCGGGAACTACGGCGCGCCGCTGCACATCAGGCTGCACGACCTGCTGCAAGGTATCTTATCTTCACCACATTACTCTTGCGAGGTTTTTTTTTTATACCACGAATGTCGCAGACAAGTATACAGCCCGTCTGATGGTAAACTGTTACTGTTACTTGTGGGCGCCTGCAACACTAGGGGTGTCACGTGCTCGTTACCTAGAGGGTATCCAGACTGGACACAGATGACGTAGATTTATATGCATATCAAGCTGCGTGATCTACTGCAAGGTGTTGTATCTTTACGACATTACCCATGCGCGCTTAATTTTCCATACCACGAAAGTCGCAGACAAGCATACAGCTGGTCTGATGGTAAACAGTTACTGTAACTTGCCGACCCTAAATGGTACTCTGAGTGTGCAGGGATGACCTTTATTTGTTATATGCATATCAAGCTGCATGACTACGACATGCAAGGTGTCATATCTTCACGACAAGCCCCTTGTAGGGTAGACAGGGATGACCTATATCTACTAGGGGGGAAGGGATTGTTAGTAATGCGAACTACCAGTCTCATTGCTAGGAATATACGCCAACAGGTCGACCTCCACGCGGTTCTTCCTGGAAACCATCGTGGTTAATTCTAGTGGAATTCGTCATGATGGGCTAACTGACCTGCTTTCATTGTCGCCTATTATCCCTAACTGGTGCCTTCCCAGCGTATACCGATTGCACAGGCAGGATTACTATTCCATTCCATCACCCATTAAAAAAAAATCTATACCAGGACTATATGTCTTTATTTTAATTTGTGTAAATATTGTTATTTACAGCGGACGAGAAAGGAAAGTGGTGGATAGTCGGCTCCGCATGGGAGGGAAACCAAGCCCGGCAGGAGGATAAGACGACAGTGAAACTGCCCGCCACCACCGACCAGAAACTTCTAGAACTAGCCAGAAAACAGAGGATGAACACAGATGTTAGAAGGAGCATATTCTGCGTTATAATGTCCGCTGAGGTATATATTTTTATTTATTATTAATTTATGCGAGCGATAGACTCTTATAGATTACGTGTATTATACAAATGAAAATAAAAACTAACTTTACATATGGTGTAAATCACAAAACGTATTTATATTTAGAACATTTTATTCGCCGTATGGTCCCGGTATAGAATGGGACACCTCTTTCCCGTGGTTGTCGTAAGAGGCGACTAAAGTAGGGCGAGGGTTGGGCAGCAGCGTCCCCCTTAAAACATCTCTAAAAGCTTAACTGCGGTTGCCAATCCGCCTGCCAAGCATGGCAACTACTGGCAAAACTCCACTTATGAGGAAGGCTTATGTCCAACAGTGGACAGTTAACGGCTGAAATTATTAAAAAAATGTATTTTTTATGCAACTTAGAAAGGCAAACAAGTTGACGGTCCATCTGATGGAAAGTGGTAACTGTCGCCAATGGACACGAGCAGTACCATGGACATAACAGAGTACACTGTTTCGCCTATGATACCCCCCATGCGTTGCCATTGCTGAGGATTCAGGTGTTATTCCTCTGTACCATGTAAATTCACTGCGATATCCCACTCTTCAAACCGAAACACAACGATGCAAACACAACTGCTTCACGGTAGAAACACGAATAGAATAGACTCTATACCAAATAGTATGTGTATGCTAACATAATCATTGGTTGAGCTAATCCAAGCAAGTTGTGAAAGGGGGAAAGGGATTGATAGTAAACTCTATCAGGTATCATGGGCGAAACAGTATACTTTGTTATGTCCATGGTACTGCTCATGTCTGTAGGCGACTGTTACCATTTTCCGTCAGGTGGGCCGTCAGCTTGTTTGCCTTTCTAAGTTGCATAAAAAATTCCGCTTAGGCTATACGCAATCATTACGAGTATATCCAAGTCATGTAGATGAAGTCTTGTGTAAAGACGCATCAAATAAATTTAAACTTAAAAAAAAACAAACAGAATTTGGCAACCCTAAATAATGTAACAAATGCAGGACTGACGTTATAGTGATTACTTTTACAGGATTACATGGATGCCTTCGAAAAGCTTCAGCATTTGGGTCTAAGGGGTCAACAGGAGAGAGAGATAGTCCACGTGTTGCTAGCTTGTTGCCTGCAAGAGAGAACTTACAACCCTTACTACGCGGTACTGGGACAGAAGCTATGCGACACCGATAGGAGATATCAGGTATTTTTAAATGTTACAGGATAATAATTCGACGGTATATAAAAGAAATTTTATGAACTTACCATGTTTGTCGTTTCTGACAATTGTTACGACGTCATCCGGAAGTCTTCTTAAGGGGGTGTACTGCGCTTTACGTTACAGCATCTCGCTTAGCGCAAAGTGTACATGATTTCTAAAGATAATATCGATTTTTGTGATATTGGTAACGGCCTATATTTTTAATGGACTATATAATGAATAAAAATAATTTTATGTCTTCTTCTCCTATCTTCTATTTACTTACTCTATACTATAAAAAGGAAAGATTTGTTTGTTCGTTTGTAATAGATAAACTTCAAAGTAACTCATACGGTTTTAAAAATTCTTTCACCTATGGAATGTTACTGATGTGGCAAACAAGCATACGGCCGGCCTAATGTAATACCAGGGCTATTACGCGCGCTTTACCGACCCTGTAGAAACCTCTTTATTCCTTTTTTTTTTTTTTAAAAAAACCCCATGGTGTAGTCTCTTGAAAAATCCTCGATAGGAAGCTCATTCTTCAACATTGTACAAGTGGTAGAACACGCAGAGTGAGGCAAAATCTCTCCTAAGACTTAAGGGATTCCATACCGCTTGAAAGCTTGGGATCATTGACGATCCTCATAGCCCTGCACTGAGTCGAAGGGTTCAAGCTGGTATCTAGATGCTCCTATAACTTCCATAATGACTCTTGTTGATATTATTTAAATTAATGTGCAAAAATTAATCTCTCATTTGACTAAAGACTGATATTGAATGACTCATGTATTTAACTTTCACTTTGCTACGTCACCGCCCCACTCCTTTTCGAGCGATACTTGCATGCGCTAGAGAGCAGACTTGCATTGACTTCCTAGTAGTAATAGTACTAGTAGTTAATATTGGAGAGCTTGTTTTATTGATTCAAAGCCCAATTTCCCATAACTCTTTATATATATATAAATATGTTTTATTAATTAAATAATATAATTCCAGCTCTCCATACAATATTCGGTGTGGGACAAGATCAAGGAATTGGAGAATCTGTCAAAACAGAGTAGCGCGAACTTGGCCCAGCTGCTCGTGCACCTTATCATGGAGAAGGGGTTGCCACTGTCCGTTTTGAAGGTAATTAATTATTTATTAATACTGTTATGTTATTATAATTATTTTTTAATTAATTATTATTACTGTTTAATAATTTCTTTAAAATTTTTTACAAGCAGATACTCTTATTGTGTTACGTGGAACATTGCTTAAACGCAGTGTAAGCGACCCGCCACTAGATGGAGTGACTACCTCAAATGCATTGCAGTGTTAGTGGATGCAGGTGGCTCAGGACCGTTCCTTATGGTTGTCTATGGGAGAGGCCTATGTCCAGCAGTGGACGGATAATGGCTGAAATGATGATGATGATGATGATGAAATATTCTTACCGTAGCTTCATAATACATAAACGTAAACATTTTGTATGAGAGAGAGCAGGAATCTTCAACTGTTTCTTAAAAACAGCGATCTCAATAATCCTAACACTAGATACAAATACAAACTTGCTGCTCCGAAGTGTCATTTAGAAAAAGTTAGTAAGTCTTTTATGGGAATGTTCATTAAATGTTATATAATAAGATACCGAAGGATATTTCGGATCTGCCTTTTTAATAAATTTATAACTGTTACTAAAAACACTTATGGAAGAAAGCCTACACACTAAACGATTATTTGAATAACAAACGTGCATGGTGTTAGTCGATCATGCACGGGCTCTTAACGACCATGTAATTTTAGACATAGTACATTTAAATAAATACACATAATGTTAACAGAGATTTAAAAAAGTAACTGTTGAGTTTCTCGCAAGCTCTTTTCAATAGATAACAACTTTCCGAATCCTGCAGTGGATTAAAAAAAATGACGATTTAAAAGTACATGTAAACAAGTCTAAATGAATTTACAGGTAATCGAGTTCTCGGACCTGAACAAGGCGACCGTTCGATTCATGCGTCAAATCCTTCTAGCCATAATAATGAACGAAAACTTACAAACGTGCCTCGAAGTGTTCCACAGGATTTCTAAACCGGCTAAACTGCACATGTTCAGGGAAAGTATAAGGTTGTTCATACAACACTTCCTAATAAAAAATATGGGTAAACAGAGCAACGTTTTGAGCGCACAGGAAACGGCCAAGCTGAAGGAACGAGCGGTGGAAGTTGACAAGATATTGACCATGTACGAGTCCAAGTTGAGGCTTTAATAAAGTGTTTTGTATATTGTTTTATTTTTTTATTGTACTAATGAGACCAGCTGCATCAGTCTATAAATACCCTAAAGTTACCAACCAACACTTGTCATCAATACCAGAGGGAGACTTTGTACAAAAGTCGATTGCTTGGGCACCTCTGTCCCATTCGTGTTTCTACCGTGAAGCAGTTGTGTTTGTATGGCTGTGTTTCGGTTTGAAGGGTGGGATATGGCGTAAATTTACAGGATACAGAGGAATAACACCTGAGTCCTCAGGAATGGCAACGCATATCATGGGCGAAACAGCATACTCTGTTATGTCCATGGTACTGCTCATGTCTATAGGCGATGGTTACCACTTTCCATCAGGTGGGCCGTCAGCTTGTTTGCCATTCTAAGTTGTATAAAAATAAAAAAAACTACAGAAAGCCATAATCCTAAATACATGCTGAATTGTCAGGAAGTTTTGAAAAATTGGACTAGAAGTTTCTGGTACATGTACAGGTTAACATAATATTTCAAATATATTACACAAACAAATCATATTTATACAAAAAGAATAGCACACAGTTATGCACTTGGCTTTCTTTTTTTTTGATGGGTGAAAATGGTATGGTAACCCCGCCTGCGCTAACGGGATACGCTGGCGGAGCACCAGTGAAGGGTGATAGATGAGAATGAAAACAGGCCAGTTAGCCCATCATGATGAATTCATCAGGAATTAACCATGATAGTTTCCAGGGGGAACCGCGAGGAGGTCGACCTGGTTGGGTATATTTCTAGCAATGGGATTCTCAGTCTCCATTACTAACAATCCCTTTTCCCCCCTATGCACTTGGCTTAGGCCCGTTTTCACCTGTAAAACCGGTTTTAAGCCGAGATATCGCAATTTTAAAATTAAATAATAATAAATATTTTTTATTCGAGTAACCTTAATAATAAGCATTGTTGAATAGTCTTTTGTTTTTAGAAATTTACCGCCAATTTTAGCTGAAAATAATGGGCGTGAAACAGCTTTTTTTGAAGTTAAGTTTACAACATAAAATTGGAATGAATAAAGTGAGTATCACAAACTTCGTATTGATAAAAGAAAGAAAAAAGCAACAAAGCTACAATCAATTACAGTATTCTTGACAGATGTAATCAGAACTCGTGGATTGATGAAAATGGAATGGTAGCCCCACTTACCATATCAGTATATATATACATAAAATGGCAGAACACCACCAATTAAGCACAAACAGTATATCAAGAATTAACCACTATGGTTTCTAGTGGGAACCGCGTGGAGGTTGACTTGAGGAATATTTATAGGACTAATGTAGTTAGTAATGGGGAGACCATTACTAACAATCCCTTTCCCCCCGCTAGCAATGGGGTTGTTAGATCCCATTACTAACAATCCTTCTCTCCCCAAAACCCATAGGTTTGCCCGCAATTATTCGTTTTATCTGAGAAAGATTTTGTACAAAAGTTGCTTGTTTGGGTAATGGGTACTTCGGTCCCACTTATGATTCTGCTGTTAACAATGACTATAACTATTGTAAAGCTGTATTTCGGTTACAATATGGTAGTGAAATTACAATATACGAAGCGTAGGCGGCTCTAGCCCATCTAGCGCCCCTGTGCGGTACGCTATAGGTAAAACCACCTAGTACGTGCTGCATACCTGGCGACAAAGGAATATGCTAAGGAAGGGCAGCAACGTCCCTCTTAAAATATCTCCAAAGCCTAACTGCGGTTGCCAATCTCAGGCACGTGGCATCTACTGGCTGACGATGATGACTTTGTTCGATAACTGCTTAATGATAATATATATATATATGGTATATATATATATATATATATATATATATATATATATATATATATATATATATATATATATATATATATATATATATATATATATAATTAACCCAATCAAAATCGAAAATAACTTAATCAAACAAATCAAACTTAAAACAATATTCCTACCGTTACTCCTCGACAAAGACCGGCGATAAGGCCGCTTCTCATTAAAAAATAATATTTAATTAGTGCAATAAAGTGTAAATAAATAAATATTTAACAGAGTTCGTCGCTGGAAATGAAATAACAGATCGGCATCCACAAAGTCAAGGGAAACAGCCAGCGCGTAAATATAATACTTATAAAGCATTATTCAAAACTTTATTGTTTCCGAAAACAATTTATCCTAATTACATCGAAGCGGATATAGTTCATTTAAAAGTAAAAAAAAAAAACTAAAATAGTTAACGACACGCCGCGTCTGAATAATGCCTGGCGACCCTGCAATCGTGACACGAGTGAATATTATAGGAAATAAAGCTCGTCGCTGTTAAGAGCTTTTTTAATTAATTCCTGTTTAGGAATTGAACAAGTCGGCTGTGGAAGTGGTCCAAGTCATAAGAGGTAGCGATGAATTGTTTTTTTGTATTGATTGGCTCAGCGCACAATTAGATATTTTATAAAATGTTTACATTAGTATTAATCAAAAAAATTAACCCTTAATAGCCTGATTTTTTAATTCAAATTAAAATATATATAAGGGTACATTTATACTTTTAGTATGTTTACTAATGGGGAAAAATAGTAAAAAAATCAAAACGATATTTTTATATATTTATTTAAAAAAAATCATTTAGTAACATGTAAACAGCCAAATATTAAAATAAAATCGATTGTAGGCGCCCAAAGCGAAGTTTTTTATTACCGATGAATTGAGTGTCTTGAACTCTATAATCTATACAACCTATAATTTGCAAATCTCGAGCTGGAATACTTTGAAATATTCTTATATATTAGTTTTTATTTTACGTTACAGAGTAAGCCTTCACGCCGATTAGTGTCTGGGAGTCTTAAAATATTTTTAGTGCATACTTATTATCATTTAGATACTGCATAAAATAAAATGTGTAATAGTAGGCGTGTAAGTACAGATGCGTTTGGCACTCGGTCCTGTAAAGATGTAAGTAAACATAACAATATAAATTCGGATCTATAAAAGAAACTTTTCTATGAAACCATTTTGGTCGCATAACTTCTAATTAGGTATAAATTTATTTTTGTATTTCCTTTATCTTTAAGTTTATAATTGTCTATGTTTTAGTTGTAATTGTTATTGACATGCGCCAAATAAATATTTTTAATTTTTTTATTACTTTCAAACTCGCTCTCCGCTTATGGCTTATCATGCACTTTCTTATTATAGATACGGGACCGTTATCAAATTAACTAGATCGTTATTAGCTGTCATAAATTCATTGTGCTACTTATAATCCGTTGTTACCCCTATTTTTATAATAACGTCACTAGTAATGTTATTTTGTAACGAAGGTCCAAATAACTTTGTGAATAGGGAAGTGCCTTTATCATTGCGTTTCAAATATATCAGCGAAACTGTTGTATATACATCATGCCTATGGTCTATCTAAATATTATCTTTGTTTACATATTGCTGGAGTATAAAGTTTTTTTTTTTTTTATACAACTTAGAATGGCAAACAAGCTGACGGCCCACCTGATGGAAAGTGGTAACCGTCGCCTATAGACATGAGCAGTACCATGGACATAACAGAGTATACAGTTTCGCCCATGATACCCCCCATGCGTTGCCAATCCTGAGGTCTCGGGTGTTATTCCTCTGTACCCTGTAAATTAACGCCATATCTCACCCTTCAAACCGAAACACAGCCATGCAAACACAACTGCTTCACGGTTGAAACACGAATGGTACAGCGGTACCCAAGCAATCGACTTTTGTACAAAGTATCCCTCATCTTATGTGCTCAACAAGTAAAAAATAAAAAAAATTTAAAACCCTTAGCTTGAATTACACCATTTATTCATTTAATAACAATGCGGGAAAAAGCTAATACAAAATGTAACGTCAAGAATTTGAACCACGCGAACGATTACTCGTGGAATTCACATCGTTTCCGATGCGTCCTTGCGTTTATATAAATATTGAATCAACAACGTACCCTGCCTACACCCATATGTAAACTGAATATCATTAGGCAAGCAAAAACGGGACAGGAGATTGTTGTCAAGAGCGCTATCTTATCTAGGCATCCGTCTGCCTGTAGACTAGTCTTTATCAATGGTAACATAGACTACACCCTTTGATAACATATGTTGATAATGTGCAGAGACATTGTTGTATGCGAACTATCCTACCATGCATATTCTCGGGGGTAACTGTAACTGGACGCAGCGGTTCTCAAAGTGAGCACCGTGCGATTTGTTCGTTTGGTTAAGTTGACAGGATTCCGCGAATCGGCGATTAAAGCTTTAAAAACGAATAACAATAGTTAATTTTTTTTTTCATTATTACCTTACTGTAGATTACTAAGGTATTTTTTGTTTATAACTCAGGTGGTAAGCGAGCCTGCGGCTCTCCTGATGGTAAGTGACTACCGCCGCCCATGATCACCTACAAAACCAGAGGTATTGCAAATGTGCTGCCAGCCTTTTAAAAAGGAATATGTTCTTTTCTTGAAGGTTATGATGTCGTATCCGTAAGGAAATACTGCTGCTGGAAGTTGATTCCAAAGAGTCGTAAAGACTATTTCTAATAGTCAGTAGGTAATTTAACAAATAATGTAAAATTAATTCAAATGTGTTTGATATAATTTTCATCTAGCAACTATTCTCTTTTTCGCTAGGATGTAATTTATTATTGAATATATCTATCTATCTAATATATAAAATTCTCGTGTCGCGGTGTTTGTTGTGTCGTAAAAGACGACTAAAGGACGGCGAGAGATGGGCAGCATCGTTCTTCTTAAAAAATCTCTAAAGATTGCGGTTGCCAAAAAGCGTAAGAAAGATTCCGTACTAAAATTTATATAATGTTCCGGGGCCTCGACAGTTTAGGAACCACTGGCCTCAGGTGATGTATCCATTGTATACGGTTTCCAAGAACTTTTCGGCTTATCGTCGTTATTTATACATCAAAGCGCATCGTAAGGTAATATTATGTATTTGCGAGTACCTATGTACATACTAGTATGTACATATTGGATTG